AGCTCGGTATGGGGGCTTGGCCCATGAGGTTGAGGGAGGTCGGGTGAGGTATCAGAGCCGTGGGAATTGGGAGAGGATGTAGATGACGACTAGGACAATAAGGAGGAATAAAAACAAAAATAAAAGATAGAAAATAAAAAACCGCGAAACTTGGACTCTTCCGAAGACTGACGGGTGATGCTTTGCCCTTCTCCAAGGGACTTCAAGTCACGAGCCCGGACCCATCCTGCGGTTGGTGAAAACTCTGATTCCTTCCCATAGGAATCTAACTATCGTCCTCTCAAAAGAACACAAGTGTTGAACACAAATTTTTAATATCAATAATTTCTCCCCTATTACAATAGCTTAAGGCCCTATATATAGGCCACAACATAAGAGAACTCAAAAGACAAAATTGCCCCTTGGGCCACAACACTCACATAAACCAACCTAGGGGTAAAACAGGAAATAACATAAAATAAGAGTTAAAATTTATAAAATAACTCATAATTGAAGATTTTAATTATAGCCGTCGATTTACGACGCCTCCTGTGATAGATGCATCAAATCTTCGTTCCAATGTCCGCATCAGGTACACTCGATACGCTGTTCTGATACCGATATGTATCAAGAATCGATATATTGAGAGTTCATCGAAATAAACATTTACATTTTCTGATCTAAACATTTACATTTTGTGATATAAAGGAAACCCTAAAGCTAAACATTTTATTTACCCTTTTTTTATTTCACAACAAAAAAAATCCCCAAACTAAAGAATACTAAACGTATCTCGCTACAAAATATTGACCTTAGGCATGGATTCAAAATCTCTCTCCCCAAAGAAGGTGATGAGCAAACCCTAAAGCTTCATTCGACGATGAATAGCACCAGAGGAACTGAAAAGCCTCGATTTTGAATTGTTTTTACAGTGGCCCGCGGTACTATTCTTTTAAATTTTCGCATCCTATCCGGGCCGGTTCTTCGGGCCGCATGGAAATTAGAAATGCATGTGCGTCGTTTCGACTTCTCGGAGAGTCGGGTCGGCGGGTCTTCGGGTCGCTACGTGACATCATTTAACCGGCGTCCGAACGCAGAGCTACGTCCGGTGTCCACACCCAAGAAAAATTAGTTGCCTAGGCCCGGGATGACCAATCCGACCCACTTGTGTGCTCCTCATTTTTATAAACAATTAATTTAAATTGTACTTGATACATTATCAAAAATTATCTTGATTGGGCACAAATCTCGAGGCAAAATCAAGTTAGAAACTTCCAAAATTAAAATTGGGACCATCCGAACTCCGATTTCAGCAAACTTATAATCAAATTGAACGTCTCGAAAATACGAACCCAACGACACCAAATTCGACTCAATCTGAGCTCAAATGGGTCCAAATCAAGGACCCGAAGCATTGTTGGAACATTCAAACCACAATTTGGATTACCAAACGGTTTCCAAACGTGACATGCTTATAGTTGAATCGAGCGTTAATTAGTAGTCCGGCGAAACTCCGAGGTCACTTGGTGGTCCGACTGAACTCTAGGCATCAGGTGGTGGTATGGTAGAACTCCATGCCTCAGGTGGTGGTCCGACAAAAGTCAGGGCCTTAGGTGATGGTCCGGCAGAAGTCTAGGCCTCAAGTGGTGGTCCGACAGAAGTGAGGACCTCAAATGGTGGTCCGACAGAACTTCAGGCCTCAGGTGGTGGTACGGCAGAAATTTGGGCCTCAGGCGGTGGTCCGGCAGAAGTTCAAGCCTCGGGCGGTGGTTCAACAAAACTCAGGGCGTCAGGTGGTGGTTCGGTTGAACTCAGGGTCTCAAGTGGTGGTTCGGCGGAGCTCAGGGCCTCAAGTGGTGGTCCGGCGAAGCTCAGGGCCTAAGGTGGTGGTCTGGCGGAGATCTGGGCCTCAAGTGGTGGTCCGTCAGAACTCTGGCGGTGGTCGAGGAGGCAAGGAGGCATAAGCGATCTCCGATCTCTCTCTTTTCTCGTTAAGCTTAGGGGTCCCTTTTCAAGAGAAATGAGGGGTCTATTTATAGATTTTCTAAAGTAGCATGGCTTGTAAATAGGATGAGTATTAAGGGCAAATGGGGAGTGATTTGGATGGACAATCGATGTTGAACCCCTTGATCGTGGACCGTTCATTAGACATTTGAAAGACTTAATGTGTCAGAATTCCATGATCTTGGGCTTGTTGGATTCGTCTCGTCGAGTCGCTCGATTCGATAATAAGCATGTCACGTTTGGAAACCGTTTGGTAATCCAAATTGTGGTTCGAACCTTCCAACAGCGATTCAGGCCCTTAGTTTGGACCCATTTAGGCATGGATTGAGTTGAATGTGGTGTCGTTGGGTTCATAATTTCGAGACGTTCAGTTCGATAATAAGTTTGTTAAAATCGGAGTTCGTATGGTGCCAATTTTAATTTTGGAAGTTTCCAACTTGATTTTGCCTCGAGACTTGTGCCCGATCATGATAATTTTGTGATGATGCATCAAAATCGAATTCTAAATATGCTAAAAATGATTTAAATAAATAATTCCAAATATCTTAAAAGTATTATTTTGCATTTATTTTTCTTCAAACCTAACACTTACAAGTTCAAATACAGTGCATTTATTTATTTATTTATTTATTGCACTACAAATTTTTTCGACCAAATGACTCCTAATCAAAATCATAATGCTAGAATCAAATATTATTTAAAAACTTTTATTATATGCATCCAATTTTTAGTGTATGGTAGTTTATATGATGATTTTTCTCTTATTATAAATTGTTTGACCATCATCTCAAATTCAATAATTTTTACATGTAATCATTAAATTATTATTATTATAGGAGTATCGCCTTCTGTCTGCTTGTATAAATGTTGTGAATCTTGTGGCATTATGCTCTATGACAGACAATCTTTTTATATAGTGATTGATTGGGTTCGGAATATCTACATGCGAACAGCATAACTGTTACCACACCATGAAATTAAGCTCTATAAAATACTAAACACCTATTGCAAGAAATTTGGTTTAGGAAATTTATGTGTAATCTGATCTATTCACTCTTGATTCAACCATTTACTTTACAAGATGTACATCAACATTTCTAATACGGAATTTATATTGAAACTGCTACTCTCCTGTTTCATGATTTCATCTTCTTCGTCTTTACTTGAATCACCTTCTACATCATCTCATCTTGAGTAATCTAAACCAGGATGTCTTTTAGGTTTATGAATTGCTTCGCATCCTTGTGGATTTGAATGAGTTGGAATCTAAGATATCTTAGCCTTAACAATAGGTTTTGTAGAGATATATGGAGCCTCGTTCTTTTATTTACTTTATATAAAGTAGTTGATTTAACATTTTCATCTTCATCATAATACATTGTTTTATCCTCAGATTCAGGTATTGGAGCTAGATAAAATTGTATTCTTAGTTTTGCTTATAGGTTTCGATACACATCTAATGCTGGATTAAGTTCCTTCAGTCTGTTGACATCAAAGAGTGCTAGCTGATAATCCTTCAAAATGACAAGTCTGTGTGACTGTGTTCGCAACATCAATGCCCTAGTATGTTGTTGATTACTGTCAATTCAAAAAAAAAAAAATTTATATGAATGGAACCAAATTTGGGCAATAATATGCCACATGAATGAGGTGTATTTAATCACATACCAAAGGGATAACTACAGAAGTCACCGTCAACAAAAATTTTTATTTAAATTTTAATATCATGTATTATGTAATTTCCTACTTCGTGTGTATTAGTAATGACAAGTTGAATCATGTAGTTTAGCCCTAGTCATTTAATATGATTGCTCAGCCACTCAAAAATTTTTAAGGCATTTTTTTTATTTTAATCATTTAATTTGACAAAATTTCACTTAAAATTAATTAAGTGAAGGTTCTTTGTCAATTTCGATTTCAGCAACCTCCCGGCGTCCCCTCCTCATGAAGGGAGGTTGTGAAGGGCACTTGCCCCTTCAATCCGCCCGGCCGGAGGAGGCTTTGCTTGCTGCTGAAGAAGATGACCGAGAGACCAAGAGAGGTAAATCCTGAAACTTCCTTGCCTCCCTTTGTGTTCTTGTGTGCGATTCTGAGAGTGTTTGTCTGAATGAGAGGGGTCTTCGTTGTTTTTGTCGTAAATGCGGGTGGTTACAAGATCATGGGATCATGGGTGAGGCCGATCGGTTAGGTCGTGGGGTTTGCCGGCAGTTACAAGTCAACATGAAGAAATCCATATAATAAAGCAATATGATAGGAAACACTTAAAGTTAATAAGTTATCAAGAATATCTATCAATCTATGATAAAACAGCGAAAACTTTTCTCTAAACTCCAACGAAAATCAGAGAAAACAGAAATTTTATTGCAAGAAACAAATAGATTCTTCTGAGCAATCATGGGTGATTCCACTGATCAATCATGACAAAATGTGCAAAGGAGTTGTGATATCTATTATAAAACATTTAACTAATCTTAGTTTCAAATTTATTTTCTTAAGAATCTGACGTTTGGCAGGATTTAAGCAAGATTTAACTTAAATCCTACCGAACAGGATTTTAAGGACTTTAAATCCCGTTGTTTGATAAATCCCTTCAACCCCATTAGTGATTAAATTCGGGATTTATTAAATCTCAGCATCCACGGGACTTAACATATTAAGGATTTCTTCCCTTACAAATTTAAAATCCGGAAACAAACGGTAAAACAATTTATAAGGACTTAGCAAGATATAAATATTTTCGTGCCAAAAAGTTTTCAGGTTGTAATCCTCTCAAGATTTACTAAATCCAACTTGTAACAAACAGACCTTGACAGGAAAAAAAAATCACAAAAATGGACTATAGGATTCAACACAACGAGCTTAATGCATACAACATATCAAAATATGACAACGATCACAAACTAAAAATACAATATGATCAACAGAGCGGACCAAAACAACCATAGTTCCAACAAACTTACGAAAACAGCTTCGCTTAGATTCCCCAAAAACTTGGAAAAGAAGGTTATGTCGCATACCATAGTTATGAATATCTATGAAGACTGCTCACGATCTCCTCTCTCCTCGATGTTAAGGAGGCTGGCTCCCGATCTCCTCTCTTCTCCTTCCTGTGCCCTTACCCCAGCAAAATCTCGTCAAGACTTCCTCACCTGTTCTTCGTTGCCGAGCAAGCTTCCGTCGTCGTCGTACTTCCGTCGTCGTCGTACTTCCGATCCAACAGAAGATCGGCGAGGAGGTGTGGATTCGGAACCGACAGGAAGGAATAATTTCACCAGCCGGAGAAGGGAAAAGCAAACCCCGGAAAACTTCGGTTTAGAACAAGACAGGCATCGCCAGAGAAGTATAGCATAGGAATAAATTAGTTTAGCTTAATTAGCTAAAAACAAAATGTAATTAAATAATTAATTAATTTATAATTAACTTAGCTTTTAATTATATTATTTATAATTATTAGTTAGTATGATAATTAAATTTTAACTCATAAATACTTAAAATTAAAATTAATAAGTTATTTCATAATTAAATTGTTTTCTAATTATATATTTTTGTAATTCTAATATATTGATAGTAATAAAAATTAAAATTAATAAATAATTTATACAAAAATTAAAATTAAAATTCAAATATAAATTATTTTTTTTAAATGAATTAAGCTCGTTGTGTCTCATGGTCAGCTGGATTAACAGAATTTAAATTATCAAACTCTTTTACAGGATTTAACAGAATTTAATACCTATCTTACTAATTAATTTTTAGAATTTAATACCTAATGCAAGGCAAATTTAGGGATTAAATAAATCTGAATTGACAGGAATTATCCTGTTAAAGTTAAATCTTACTTGTTTTCAAAGCGCCCCTCGAAGATATCACCGTCGTGAGCCGGCGAGAGGCAGCTTCGAGTGCGCTTGTGACCATTTGTGCTAATTGTGTCTCAAGGCGAGCTGAGCTTGAGACTAAGGTTTCTTTTGGGACGGTTTTCTTTCTGCTTCTTAAAGCAGTTTTGTAGTATAAAAATTTTAACTTTTTAACTAAAAAGTCGTTTTAAAAAGCAAGAAGAAAGCCATCTCAAACGAAGCCTAAGTTTTCTTTGGGAGTGTTTTTTTACCACTTTTTAAAATAATTTTTTAATTCAAAAAAATATTATACTAAAAATTTATTTCAGAAAATAGTAAGAAAGCTATTAAAAAAAAACCTAATTATGATTTTGAACAATGAAATTTTAATTAAATTTTAATCAAATTTAAATTGAAAAAAAAAATTATGACGGGATGATATTGATAAATATTGAATTTATTTTAAAATTTATTACGAATATGAAGAATTTGTCTTATATAAATTTTAAAATAAATTTAATAGTTTTTATATTTATCCTAATACATTTGTATTGAGGCAGGCTCATATAAGTTAAATCAATGAATTAATTAAAGAATCAAATTCAACTCAAATGGAATTTGAATATAGTTAAAAGCTAGAGCCAATAGACTTGGTAAATTTAGTTTTCTATTCAATAAGAGAAATTATTATGTATGGTCACCGAATGTCGTCTGAAGGTGAATTAGGACACGTCACGTCACTTGTTTTAGGTATATCGGTGCTGAGTGCCTTTATGCATCGAGTGACGTGAAGCATCCTGATTCGCCTCCAGACGTTCCGGTGATCGCATATAATATTTTCTCGTGGTCATAGCCGGTTATTGTAGCATGAGGTTGGAAGGCAAGCGATTAAGCCCTGACTTACTAAAAAAGAAACTGATACGAGTGGATGACTGGCTTAAAAGTGTCGAATAAACAACTTTAGTGGTAGTGTACAACTATGATGGATGGCAGGTTAAACCTTATATTATCAATGTACTTGAAATTTGTTATCAAAAAATTATCTTGACCGGATACGAGATCTCGATGTAAAATCAAGTTGGAAACTTCCAAAATTAAAATTGGGACCATATGAACTCCGATTCCAGCAAACTTATAGTTGAATTAAGCGTTTTGAGAATACAAACCCAACGACACTAAATCCAACCCAATCCGAGCCCAAACGGATCCAAATTAAGGGTTAGAAGTGTTGTTTGAAGGTTTGAACCACAATTTGGATTGCCAAATGATTTTCAAACATAATGTGCTTATAGTCCAATCGAGCGGCTTTACGAGACGAATCCAACGAACCCAAGATCACCGAATTCCGACATCACCAAGACATTCAAATGTCCATCAAATGGTCCATGATCAAGAGATTCAATATCGGCCGTCCATCCGACCACTCCCCCTTTACCCTTGATCTCTCACCTATTTACGGATCATGTCACTCCATAAATCTATAAATAGATCCTCATTTCTCTTGAAAATGGATAAAGGCAAGAAGAGAATAAGATAATAATAGAAGAGAAGGAAGAATGTTCTCCTAGACCACTGCCTAAATTCCGCCAAACCACCGTCTGAGGCACTCGCCTTTGTCAGACCACTGCCTGAGGCCCTCGCTCCGCCGAACCATCACCTGAGGCCCTCGCCTTTGCCGGACCACGACCTAAGGGCTTGAACTTCATCAGACCACTACTTGAGGCCCTAAACTCTGCCATGCCACTACTTGATGCCCTAAACTCCGTCAGACCATCAACTAACGCCAAAGTTCTATCAAGTCACTGTCAGACAGCTACCTGACTCCCAACTTTCAAATGATGCCAGATTTAACACTAGACTTTCAACCATACTGTTGACATTTATAATCTGATCGCCCTCAAGGATGAGGCAGCCCACTGTACTCAACTCAAATTCTAGTTAAATCTTTTCAATTAAGCTAGGTCCAGTGATTTTTTCCCTTTTTAGGGGTTTCAATGTAAAAAATATTGTATTTTCTGTGTGTGAGCTGGATATCCGTGTAACGCTGAGACGTTAAATTACAACTCTATCGCCGCGTATATTCTAGCCCACAACAAGAATGAATTCTAAATATATTGAAAATGATTTAAATAAATAAATCCAAAAATTTTTAAGTATTGTTTTACATTTATTTTTTCTTTAAACCTAACACTTACAAGTTCAAATATAGTGCATCTTTGTTTTTTTTGTTTTTTTTGCACTTTTTTGCACGACAAATGCTTGCAATCAAATGGCCCCTAACGAAAATTATAATGCTAGAATCAAATATTATTTAAATTTTTTTTATTATATGCATCGAATTTTTAGTGTATGATAGTTTCTATGATGATTTTTTCTCTTATTATAAATCGTTTGGCCATCATCTCAAATTCAATAAATTTACATGTAATTAGTAATTTATTATTATCTTTTATGTAATTCTTATTATGATTATAGATTAAAATTGATAGAACTTCCAAAAAATTCACATGATCAACACATATCTCAAGATAATATTTGAATTTAAACTTTCAAAATTAAACTCAAGGTCAAACTGCCTCCAATTATAAATCATGCTTATAGTCAAATCGAGCAACTCGACAAGACGAATCTAACGAACTTAAGATAGTCGAATATCTGATAAGCGATATACAATCAGGAGGGTTAATATAGACCATATAATGAAATGCTTTAGATTCTGATCAAATTTATCAAAATGCTCGTCACAAAATGCCACATAAAATGGGAGTTTAAGAGTGGAGAGAACTAAATAATTGTCTTGCATCTTCCGACTATCACTCTGGATGACCAACACCATCGACATACTTTTGTTCATATTTAACTATGTTATTAGGCTTTAACTATTCATTTATTGGCCTCAAATTTTTAGGAGAATTTAAACAATTTTGCTATAACTACTCCCGTTCTTTAATTGTAAAGAATATAGGACTATTGTATTTAGGGTTTAGGACAAACACCGTGATTTTGTACATTCTTTTTTTTTTATGTAACTTTTTTTTTTCTAGTTTTTTTTTGTGTTGAATTTAATAAATAGCTAAGATATTAACACACATGAAATTAAAATATATTAAATTTCTCATATATATATATATATATATATATATATATATATATTTGTAATTTATACTA